ACAATAGCAAACCTACAGTTAAATAAAAAGAAGCGAGAAATATAAAAAAAAAAGCAGTCCACTAGGTGAAAATGTCTATCACAATAATTTTAAAAAGATTATTAAGTGATAAAATAAAAAAAATTCTATGAAAATTCATAATAAGCAACACAATTCTTTTTTTCCCTTCAATTCTAATTTATTACAGAAGAGTACATTTTTTAAAATGTAATCAGATGTAACAAACAATATTTGGGTGGAGGATTTAAAAGAAAATAAAATTAAAATTTATTTATTTGGTTTTTTGTCAAGTGAAATAACAAACAGTTAGTTACATAGTGGATGTACTAGTTTTCGATCATTTATGATTTTAGTAATAGACAGTTATCTTTATAAGTCTATTATTGCACAATGTGCTCATTACTGACTAGGTTCGTGAGGATATTCTTAGAGTTCTAGTGAGAACTAGCAAAGACAAGTGGGTTGGGTTTGTCAAAATCCTTAAATTGATCAATATTAGATACTAACGTTGTTAGATTCCGGTTCAATTGTCCTGGGGTTGAGCGTTTGCGTCCAAGATGGAAGGTTCTGGGTTCGATTGCTGTGAGTGGTGGAAGTCGGGGATGTGCACTGTGGATGAGTCCCATGCCGGGACGAAAAAGGCTGTCCAATACTTCCGGGTTTTTGATGGTTGTCTAACAATGACTGATTAGTGATTGAAGTAGTCAACAACACTATAATGTTATCGTATCTTCTGTTTTGTTTTAATAATTTTTATAAATTTATAAAAAGTCCTAATAATATTACTTATTAAATCAAATATTTACTATAGTTAGTTTCTAATATTGCGTAACTGTTTAGTTACACTTTCTTAACTTGAATCAACTCATTAATATATAGATGGATGATTTCAGAAGTTTATATGCTTCGAAAGAGAACTACTGTAAACCTAGATTAATCAGAGTTAGAGGTTAACACTGCTTAATGTCGGCCTATTGGTCTAGAGATAAGGCGTTCGCACTCATGACCGTTGGTCATGAGTTCAAACCCTGCACGTAGCAGGAGTCGTAGGTGTGCACCGCTGACAAGTCTCACACCAAGGTGAAATGGCCATCCAGTGCTTCTAGATTTCCAGTAATGGTCTAATACTCATTGATTTATGCTTTCAGCAATAAAGAGTACTATAAACATCAGTTACTACTAATAGTCATACATTCTTCAGTGAGGAACTTATAAAAGTATTTCCTCTGAATCCTAGTAAAGAATCTTAATTAATGGGACTTCCAAACCAATGTTTAATTCTCCGTGAATTTTAGTGATTGCCAGACTCAGGCCTATTCGTCTTGTCAGTAACATTTAGCAATCTCCACCAACTGTATTACCCGACTGACTAACAGACTACAATGTAAACTTATTGCCTTTTGACTGGGATTAATGAATTCTGTTAAACATTAAACCAGAATATCTTAGTTACTAGTTTGTTGTAGAACACTACAAACAGCCATTCATTGATTTCACATCACTGTTGAAAGTTATTCTTTATAACTGTTATATTGACTGACATCTCTCAGAAAGATATAATAGGCTGTGTGCAAACATCATGGTAGTGTGCTTTACGAATTCATGGAAAAGTTATACATATGGGCGTTTTATGCACTGCGCTGTTATGTTTACAGTAAAAAGGAACCATGAGCATAAAAATTCACATTCACGAAAAAAATTTCTGTTCAATTCATTATATTACTAAATAATGTATACAATTATATAAATATTTTTACCACTAATAAATGAATAAATATTTCTTTAGAATTTATTCAATTACAGTAGCATATTTCTGTGCAACAAAAAACACCATTTTTTTCAGTCCCTTCCATTTTCAATCTGTTTTAACTATTAACATACTACTTAAAATAATAATACTAACAATAATAAGCAATGACAATTATTCTCTGAGAAAAGCTTTAGTTACTTCCTTTATTTTTCTCTCAAATTACCTCATAAACATTTTAATAATATATGTATATGTCTCAACATTTTTCTCAATAAAACAAAACCCAATTTTCTTTGCACATCAATTGTTGAATACATTGAACAAAATTAAACATGGTTGATGTGAGGGTATGTTTCAGAACTGGGTTTAGTAGACAGTAAAGAAAGACCAGACCATTAATTGTTCTTATATTTACAATGGAAAGAACATTGTTTTTGTGTGTGGGTGTGTGAATGTATGGTTAGAACAATAACAAAAACAGGCGAAGTAAACAATCATCAACTGATTAAATTGAAATTGTTCTCATTTCAATTTTCAATTATTATTATTATTATTATTATTTTGTTGATTGACAGTTAAGTTGTCTGTGTGTAGTAGAAATGTATACATATATATGTATTGGTTCAGATGATTTTTTTGCATAATACTGCATTATACTATGAAGTAAAATCAAAAAATGTGTTCACTAGTGACTAGATTGGTGAAAGGATTCTCGGAGTTCTAATAGGAAGTTGTGATCAGTGGAGTTCAATCCTGTAGGGAGTTACTCATTGAAGACAACGGGTGAGGTTGCGCTAAATCCTTAGATTGATCAGAGTTAGACATTAACACCGCTGGTTGCCACGCCAGCGGCGGAAGATACTGGGTTCTAATGCTTCGAGTGGTGGGATTCGTGGATCTGCACCCTTGATGAGTCCCATAATAGGACGAAACAGTCATCAGGTGCTTCGATATTTTTAATGCTGATTTAACAATGGTTGATTCATGAGTTCATTGTGTAAAAAGCTGATTTGTACTAGAAGGAAATATTTTTCTTTGTTAGTTAGTTTTACTCACTTTAAGAGTCAACTTTCAATTTTTTTTATATTTTCGGCAGCTTTTATATTACTATGTATAATATCTTTTTAGGATAAAACATACATATTACAAACTTGCTTTACGGGATTGTGAAGATAGTTAAGTTACACATTTTTGAAACCATGAATCGATCAATGTTAGACCACCATTAGAAACCTTGAAGGATTGGACGGCCGTTTCGTCCTGGTATGGGACTCCTCAGCAGTGCGCATCCACAACTCCTGCACCCCGCAGGATTCGAACCCAGGACCTTCGGTGGACTAACATTGATCGATTCATGGTTTCAAAAATGTGTAACTTAACAATCTTCACAACCCCGTAATGCAAATTACCTGTGCTCACTAGTGACTAGCTTCGTGAGGAATCTTCTCTGAGTTCTAGTGGGAAGACGTGACCAGTGAAGTTCAGCCTGTTCGGGTATAGGCAGTTTCTACCGAAGACTGTGTATGAGGTTGCGCAACTTCGTGAATTTGATAAAGTTAGACATTAACACCGTTGGATACCAGCTCAGTGGTCTAAATATTACAAACTGTCAACTTTTTATGGAAATATTTCAAGGTTTTATGATAAAAATAATGCAAAATATGACATGAGATAATAAGTGGACTAGGGAAGTGTGACCAAGCCGTAGCCAAATAATGTAGTACTGATCATTTTAGACTTGGATGCTATTTTTCTCTGACACGGTGTATTTTAAGCTATCATTGGGTTAGTGCTCTATATGGGATTCTAACGCGCGTTAAACAGAATCTTGGTTAGAATAGTTAGCATTCAGTTGTCAGTACTCCTATGTGAACTCTTTTCTGACTCGTATATGTACACAGATTCGTCAGTAATATCAACAATTACCACCACATCTTTTATGTTATTCATTTTGTCAGAAGTTCATAGATCACGTTACATGGTGTTCATTACTATATTCAATATCACAATAACATTTTTATGACAAGTGCTTTCCAACATGGAAATATACATTTGGGGCTTCTGATGATAAGTTGTTTGTGGTGATGTTTCGTTCTCTAAACTGAATTTATTGGTTGTGCAGCTTTGATTGTTCTTCTACTAAACAACATCATCAGCACATACTTCATGTAGAAGAGGTGAAGTATTCGAACTTCTCCACGTTGTTGTTCAGCTTCAATTATATAGTCAAGTTTGTTAATTGCATAATTTGCTGAAAAAAGCACTTATGCAAAAGATTACAATCTATATCTTGAACAAATACCATAATTAACTTAAGCTAAGTTACTATACTGAGATGTGATATTTTTTCACTATTGTCTATCTAGTCACTAGTGAACACAAATTAAAATTCTCGTTATGAAGTTATGGAGATTGTTTTATAGTACCTCCAGCTATATTTGAGTTCGCTTATATTTAATTTGGTTTAGCTTTTCGATTAACTTATTTTAACTGAGTTATTTGTATAGCAACAGCTTATATTTATACTTGTGCTTTTATCATTGTCTGGTTTGTGTGTGCTGGTACGACTAAACATTGCTTACCGCATACGCACATATTCATCCTATTCGATTTAATATTAGTCTCTTATAATATTTCGATGACTCAGATATTTTATTATGTACATATATGCACATTCTAATCTGATTAATTCATTCGCCGATTCGCTCATTCGCTAATTCGTTTGTTTGCTTGCCTTCAAGTCTATGGTCTGCTGTTTTATTTGCGGTGTACGATTATAAACGTATTCGACCCTCCGTGTTTACCTTTGGATTTGCAAACCGTCAGGAGTTATTTAGTAACGATTGTGTGAACTAGTAGATTACCGAATCTAAGAACACATTGCTCACCAGAGTTGAATTTGTTGAATTAATGAAGCTGTAACCAGTGGATTTCATCCATGTCAGGTGTAGGTAGTTACCCACCGAAAACAACTGGTAAGGCCACTCAATACTCTAAATTGAATAAAGTTAGATATCAACAACGTTGGATGCTGATTCAATCGTCCAGTTAAGCGTTCACTTGCGAGACCGAAACACCTAGTTTCGATTCCCACAACATGGAGTCCCGGATATATATCATTCTAATTTTGATTTAATGAACTTTCTTGTATTTAATTTATAATTTACACAATATCTGTAAAAGTTTTATTCCCCCCCAAAAAAATCACTGCTTCTAATCTCCTCTTCTTGCGTTAATTTCTTTTTTTCAGGCTCATCAATTATATCCATTAGTTCAAATTAATTGTTCCAAAGATTTACGATTTTTATTATGTTCAATTTACACACCAATTTGTATTAAAGGTTATCCACATTTTCTACCACCATGTCGTTCAGTCTGTGAACGTGTTAAAGCCGGTTGTTCACCAATTATGGAACATTATGAATTTCCATGGCCAGAACGTATGAATTGTGAACAATTTCCCGAATATAATAATCCTCAAGGTATTTTATGCATGGAACGTAATTTAACTCAAGAAGAACAATTAGAACTTCAATCATTAAACAACAATGTTAAAAATCATGTACCATTGAAATCAACCAATCAAATGTCAGTTGGTCATTTCGATGAATCATCAGCTAAAGGCTTACAAATCATCACTGATTGATATGATCCAATGGAAACATTATCATTGTCAGACGAAGATGTACAATTGAAGAAACAATTCAATGATAATGCTAGTAATATTTTATTTGAAAAAGCTATACGACAACATGAAGAGATTCGTAAATTACAAAATACATTTCCTAATTTACATTTAAAATGTACATGTGATTGTCGACCACCATTAATTAAGATTAAAAATTCTGAAATGAATATTAATGCAAAAGTAAGCAAAAATTGATTAAATTATTTAGTATTTTATGTGAAGATTGTTGAGTTTCATTTGAAATGATGAATCAGACATTGTTAGACTATCATCAGAAATAAACTTGCGAGCAATGAACGATCCTCTCGTCCTAGTATGGAACTCATTCATCAGCAGGGCGCATCAACGATCCCCCACCCGCAGAAACCGAACTCAGGACCTCTGGTTCCGTGTGCGAACGCTGAACCTCTAGACCTGTGAGCCGTAATCCAACGAGGTTAATTTCTAACTTTGATCAATCCAAGGTACCAGTTTGATCTTCCATATTCTATCACTTAATCTCAAAGTCTAAGACCTTACCACAACCCTATCCAAGTCGTGTAAAACTTTATGTAGAAATGGAATAATCTTTCTAATTTATTACCCAAATCATTCTTAATGTTAATAGAGTTCATGTAAAAATATGGCTAGTCATAATAACTCATTTGATAATTCAAAAAATCACCCCTACTGAACTTATTTATTGATCGAAACCGTAGATCGATCAATGTGTAACCATTGTTAGAATCCTGGAAGCATTAGACGACCGTTTCTTTCAAGCAATGCAAGTTCATTACCTGAAACAAGTTAGCATAATTTTTAGATTTTAGTGATTAGTTATTACAAATATCATGTATTTGATGATGAGATTTTTGTGAACTAATTAAATGTTAATCGCTCACTGTTAGACCACCATTAGAAACCTGTAGGAAATGTGCTAACTAGTGACTGGCTTCGTGGGGAAATTCTCTGGGTTCTAATGAGTAGTAGTGACCAGTGGAGTTCAAACCTGTAGGATGTAGGCAAAAACTAACGAGGACAATGAGTGAGGTCACGCAAAATATCTAAACTGATCAAAGTTAGATATTAACACCACTGCATGGCAGCTCAGTGGTTCAATGGTGAGGCGTTCGCGCGCCAGACCGAAGACACAAGGTTCGAACTCTGTGAGTAGCAAGAATCATGAATGCGCACTTTTGATGAGTCCTAATTCAGGACGAAACGGCCGTCTTTCTGTGCTTCCAAGTTTCTAATGATGGTCTAACAATGATTTTCTCAATGATTTCAATCAAAACAAACAATTTCTGTTGTTTACTACTTAGCTGTATGCTTCCATCAAAAAACTAATCTATTTATCAGAAACAAATAAGAATCTTACATTATTGTAACGTATACTACTCGTAAAATGGCTGATAAGTAGTTTTCAGCTGAATGTCACCAAGAAATTACTGCCAAAATGAAGAGTGTCTTTTTATTTATTTCGTTTCAATTATTTATCATCAAAAAAATTTGTTAGATTATAAATGAATTTTGGAAAAACCTTTTTTTTCAAGGCTAGTCAACATTTAAAATTAATGTACAATTCTAATAAAATATAATTGTTAGTTATATTTTTTTTTAAAAAAGTGTGTGTAACATACGCAATTATTATCACTGAAAAATAACCAGTAAAAATTAACTCAGCATGTGTAATACATACACGAAATAGTAATAATAATAATAATAATCATTGTTAACTAAAAAAAAGTACGTCGTATTTAATTTCAAGAAAAAAATGTTTAAAGTATGAAATTATTTATTGAACTAAATAATACTTTGTTTTTAAAAAAAAATTATTTTTTATGATCACAACATAATGGTAAACGTTATTGAAAAAGCTCGTGAATTAAAACCAAGCCAAAATGTACCACAGCATAATACCATTGATTATTGAACACTACAGGTGGCCATGAACAACAACACCAATATACATTAAAACAATACTGTGGAAAAGTTAATGAATAATAATGATAACAATTATACATGTCACAATGTTGTGTCATTTGAATGTGTGTATGTGCGTACGTGCTTAGTGTGTGTGCATAGTGTGTGTGAATAATGTCTTGGTCCCCGAATGTATTTTGTACATGACTGATTGGTTTTATTGTAGAGAAAATTGAATAAAAAGATAATTCGCTTCCTTTAGTGTCTTGTAAATAGCATTACAAGCGTACTAATATAAATTCGAAGATGGTTGGTTGGCTGGTTGATAACAAGCATTACATTGTTTGTCGCATTGAATATTGAATAATTTTGCATTATAGAGTTTTGGAGATTGTTGTTTTACTGGATGGCTGTTTTGTCCCAGTATAGGACCAATCAACAGTGCCAATCTACGATCCACGGACCCGAGGGTCGAACCTAGGATCTTCAGAATCTGTTGGAACGTTAAAAATATAGACCAGTGAGTCGGCATCCAACGGTGGTAATGTCTAACTTAGATCAGTATAAAGTTTGGTGATGTCAGCCAGTCAGTTACAACATGGAACTTCTTATATACATACCTCAGTTCAAGTTGTCATACCACATAAGCATTGAGAGAGTGAATTGTCAATTCAAAACCCATGGTAGTAGAAGTAGTAGAAGTATGAACAGTAATCGGAGAGATTAGGGTTCGAAGATATTATTCAAGAGGTAGAATCTAGTGAAATAAACTTAAAAGGACGAAGATGAAAGTGATGAGGAATTCAAAAGGTTAGAATTTGAGAGAACACATAAAATAGATACACCTGCTCCAAGGCAAACGATTTTGAGCCATATAATTCAAGGTGTCTAACCACCAATTATTAACATCTCACGGACCTCAACCAGGTAGCCTGCACCTACCAACATGACTTAGTCCAATTATCAGTGACTTCATGGATTTCTGCTATGTTTTGGTTTGGCTTCCCCTAAATTTCTTCCAGGCTACTTCTTCATTACAAAACGTCACTCGCCAAAGCAGTCGGTGGTTGGGAATTCGTAAGACATATCCCAACCACCAACAGAATTGCTTACTCGATTGTCTCAGGATACACGAGCAATGCTTCGGAGACACCTATGATCGAAAACCAGTAACCTACGTATATCTTCTACTCTTACTGACCATGTTTCACAGCCATAAAGTAGGACGGAGCGAACTGCTGCTCGGTAGACTCGTCATTTAGTCAGCAAACGGATATGATCGATTCATGGTTTCAATGAAACTCAACAATCTTCAGAACTCTTATAAAACTTCCTAACTTGATAAACCATTGGCAAAGATTTATTCATGCTTATGTTGTAAAAATATCATACACCTATACACATTGATTCTTTCTTCTAAATAAATAAAATAGTAAACATAAAAATTTTTCTCTTATTTTTTTTTGTTTTAGATCACCGTAGCTGATATCAGTGATTGTTCTATGCCATGTTATACACCATATTATACAATGGATTCATCATCATATAATTTCACAACATTTTGGCTTGGTCTCTGGTCAATATGCTGTGCTTTATCCACACTCATTACCATATTGACATTTCTCATTGATTCTTATCGTTTTCAATATCCAGAATTACCATTGATTTATTTGACCATTTGTTATTTTATGATATCCATTGGTTATTTGATACGTGTCATTATGGGACATCAAGCGATTGCCTGTGACAGTTTATCCAATCCATATGATGTAATCAATACTCATACTAGTAATGGTATTATTAATAATAATAATAATGATAACAATAATAATTGGTATAATTTTGATAAAACCAATGAACATTTACAAACAGTCACACGTTTACCCGGTACAACAACCATAACCCCTAAAGATATAACCATGAAAATATTACCAACACTAACTGCTACTACTGTTGCCGCTGTTACTACTACTACTACTACAACTGCTACAACTACTAGTACTAGTACTAGTAGTAATATTATCATTTCAGATCTGTTTAAATCAATCAATCATCAATTGATACGTTCAAAAGTATTACGTTATGCTATAACTGGAAGAATTAGTTGTGCTGCGGTATTTTTATTAATTTATTTTTTCAGTATGTCAGCATCAATTTGGCGGGTGATATTATCATTGACTTGTTTACTAGGTGCCGGTTTCAAATGGGGCAGTCAATCAATATCGAAATATTCTCCGGTAAATATATGGAGTGTATTTTGTTTGTTGGAGTGTTTCATTACAAACCCTTGCCGATGTGTATACATATTGCTTACTTACTTACTTACTTACTTACTTACTTACTCCTGTTGCTTCTTACAGAGCATAGGCCATCAATCAGCATTTTCCAACCAACTATTTCCTGAGCCTTCCTTTCCAATTCTATCCAATTACTGTTCATTGTTTTCATATCTATCTCCAATTCTCGATAAAGTGTGTTCCTTCGCCAACCACTTTTCCTTTGACCCTGAGAATTCCAAGTTAGGGCTTGCCTCACAGTGCAGTTGAGAGATTCCAATAACGTTTATCCTATCCAATTCTAAAGCTTGTACTAATTTCTTCCTGAACTGTAGTCTGATTTATTATTTCCTATAATAGGTTGTTACTGGCTGTTGTAGTTCACCAATTTTCCGTACAATACAATAAAAGTTTGGATGTTTTTCACCGGGAAGTAGTGACTTTGGTGTTGACTGAGAGTTGATATGAGTTCCAGATGTTCTTCAGTTGCAGAAAAGCTATCCTTGATTTATCGATCCGTTTGTTTACACCATGTTTATCAGTACTGTTGCCCAGATATGTAAAGGTTTTCACATGAACATTCGGTGATTAATCAGTGTGAACAATTCAGTTATATAAAAGGTTCAAATAAAGTTCTCAATGAAAAGTAAACTCGCATTACGAAGATATGACACAGTAAATGCTGTTGTTAGGAAAAGCGGATTAGGTAAGGATGGTAGATCAATAGATGAAGTTGTGAAATTTCATCACTTGTGGTGGTTGTGACATGTATTATGAATGCCCAACCATCAACTGTCTCGACAAGCGATGATACCTGATGTAGGGGTAGGTTGATAGAAACCTAAGGGCGTTCAAACCAAAACATGGCAAAAATCCATAAAGTCACTGACAAGTAGACTGAGTTATCTTGGTAGATGCAGATTACCTGGTTGAGGTCCACGAGATGATAGTAATCGACGGTTAGAGACCGTGAATGATATGGCTCAAAGTCGTTAGCAATGGTGCAGGTGCATCCACTCTTTGTGTTATCTCAGATTCTAATCTTTTGAATTCCCCATCACCTTTATTTTCCTCTTTTTGAATTTATTTCACTGGATTATATTTCTTGAATCATATCTTCAACCCCTAAACGTTTCGACGGCTTGACAATACCTACTCTCTGTACTAACGTGGTGTGACCATTCGAACTCTTATACGTACGTAGGAAGTTCTACGTTGTAGCTGACTAACTGAGATGAACAGAAATAAATCCTCAAAAATACTAAAAAATCACATTTTATTGAACAGTAAATAAAGGTTTGTAATTCCCACAAAAATTTCACTTCATAAACATAATAATAATCATGATTATTACCTTTTATTTATCTGATTTTATTACTGTATTCTAGACTTGTATTTTTTTCTTATAAAACCCAATAAAAAAAGACATTTCTATTGTTCTGTTTTGTTTTTTTCCCTTAAGGTTTTTCATTTTATTGCCTGGTCATTACCAGCTAGTCAAACAGCTTTAGCCTTGTTATTATCCGTTGTGGAAGGTGATCCAATTAGTGGTCTGTGTACAATAACATCAAATAAATCTAGAGCATTTCTGTTCTTAATATTTACACCGTTATTGATTTATTTATCGATCGGCATCATCTTAATGATCATTGGATTCATTGCGTTGTTTCGTATACGTGGTACAATTAAGCTACAACGACCGAATTTTGTTGAAACACAAAAATTAGACAAATTAATTATACGTATCGGTGTATTTGGCATGTTATATGCCATACCGAATTTGATTATCTTATTCTCCATTGGTTATGAACTACGTGATACACATTTATGGCAATTAGGTGTTGCATGTCATTGTTATTATGATATTGGTGAATATAAACAACAAGAGAATAGCAATGACTTCGAACCAATTCTACCAGTTGCATTGCCAGCATGGAATCCACCTAAACCAGAATATGCTGTATTCATGTTGAAACATTTTATGTCGTTGATTATTGGTATTACTTCAGGATTTTGGATATGGTCCAACAAAACCATTGAATCATGGCGACGATTTTGTTTTAATAGTAAATGTTTCTTATTCAAATTTAATAAACATCATAGTGGTAGTGGTTTATTGGTGAATCCAATTGGTATTGATCAAGAGATTGGTTGTCAAAAAAGACCTCTTGAACATTGGATACATATTCCACCGACAGTGTCAATGCAGTCTGTTTCAAAACTCAATGATACACGTATTAAATCGATGCTTAAACCAATACAGAAATATCCAATGTTCATTGATAACAATGAACAATGTCAGAAGAATCTAATCAATACTACTGATTTTATTCCATGTAGTTTGTCATCAAATCCTATTAATCCTCTGGTTACATTAAGCAATAGCCCATCAACACCATTTTCTGCACATCCGTATGATGTGCCAATTCATGATAGACATTATAAATCATCATTTGGTGCATATTATTCTATTGATGGTAGTACAATATCACAACAGTATGGTGATGTAAATTCATATCATACGAACAATAGTTTTAGTGATCATAATAATACTACTAACAATAACCATCATAGTAGTAATGGTGTGGTTGACAAAAAATTCTGTATATCCAATACAAAAAGTTTTACAGCACAATCATCTTCTGGTCATTCAATGAATTTAGGTTTTTCTACGCTGAGTAGTAGTTTGAATAGTCCGCATAAATCTTCAATACCTCAATTAAATAATAATAATCATTTAAACAATACTAGTAATACGAATAATAATCATAATAACAATAATGGTAGTTCTATCAGCACAGGCATTTCAAGCAGTGGTATTGGCAGTGATGGTTTACCAAGAACTACATCTACACTAACTGGATGTGAATTCAACTCGAATTCTTCTATATCACCGAAATTTATTGATCATTATTTGAATGGAGATCAACGTAGTTATGGGTTGATTGGAACACCAATGATCACAATGACGACAACAACTACTACTGCTAGTACGACAACAATACTTCCAATTGTAAAATATGATCGTTATATGAATGAGAATAATATGAGACGAGATAATCATTGTATTGCTGGTGCTTATAATAATACTAATAATAATAATAATAATCAATTTTTTTACAAATATGATTCATGAAAATAGAAAAAAGTAAGTTAAAGTCAATATTTTTTTAACTGAATCAATCATTGTTAGAGCACCGTTAGAAAGCTGGAAGCACTGAAAAATGGCTGTTTCGTTCTAGTATGGGACTCATCAGCAGTGCGCATCCATGACTCCTGCTACTCACAGGATTTGAAGACCGTTGGATTCTCGCAGAGTGGTCCAGAGTTTAGGCGTTATCGCCTAAAACCGAAGGTCCTGGATTTGAATCCTACGAGTAGTAGAAATCATGGATACTCACTGCCGATAAGTCCTATCCTAGAACGAAATGGCCATCTTTCAGTACTTCCAGGTTTCTAATGGTGGTTTAACAATGATTCATTCATAATTTTAGTAATAAATAACAATCTTCATAAGTCTTCATAAGTCTATTGAAAAATGTTAATTTTATTGGATAATCTTGTTTTTTATTCGATTTCCTATTCATTAAAAAAATGGTTTCACACATAGTTCACAACATCAAATAAAATTGGCTAGTTGATCATTTATACTGTTGTTAAAATAATTGTTTAGTTAATTACATGCTTATCGGTGAAAAATTCTGCGAGATAAATTCTGAAGTTATATTCAAAATTCCTCACAAATAATGTTCTGTCTTGTTATCTATGAGGCCTTTATAAACCAACAACAATAAAATGATGAACATCCCAATATTACAAATTGATCACAGTTAGAAATTAAGGCTATTGAATACTACTAACTCAATGGTACAAAATGTTAAACGCTCGTTAACAAACATGTAGGTTATGGATGTGCACAGTTGAGTAGTCAGATATCAAGATGAAATAACAATATACTGTTTTTGAATTCCAAGAGTTTGTTAAACTAATGTAAATTATTGATATAAACTATGAAATTCAACATTGGACACAAAATTGATTATGGAGCCAGAAGTTGTATTTAATCCAAAGATAATAGAATTTAGCAGATATATATATATATATATATATATATATATATATATATATATATATTTGTATTTGTAACAGTAGGTTTATAGTTTGTTTGATATGACATCTGGACTTCTTACATACAAATAACTGTTATAAACGCATTTATGAATGATTCATTTGGAGACACTGGTCTACAGCAGTCATACATGCCTTTGTACTTATAGGTTACAATTTAGTTATCATGTGACATTGTAGAGAAGGATTCCTCATGTAAAAATAAAATAGTTGTCCAAGAGTTCTTGGAACTCGACAGTGCAGCAGCTGATATTAATTTGTAGTAAATATGATCTTTTACTTCATATGCAATTCTAGAAATTAGAACCAGACTGGCTTTTTATTGGCATCAGTGTTAGACCATCGTTAGAAACCTAGAAGCACTGGGCGACCATTTCATCCTGGTATGGGACTCAATAGTACTCACTAGTGACTTGCTTCATGAGGTAATCTTCAGAGTTCTAGGAGGAAGCCGCGATCAGTGGAGTTCGACAGTAGCAACTGTGAGGCAGTTACCCCCACAGAAGACAGTGATTGGATTGATTCAAGTCGGATAACCATTTATAACCTGAAAGTAATTAAGAGCCTTTTCATCCCAGTGTGAGTACTCCTTACTAGTATGTACTTGTACACTGACACTATTAAATACTCGCTCATTGGTCTACAGTTTAAGCATTCGCGCGAGACTGAAGCTCTTGGGTTGAATTATCGCTTTAGGGGTCCCATATTGGGATCAAATGGTCACAGAAAGCTTCCAAGTTTCTAATTAAAATCTAACATTATTCAATCTGTGATTTCAATCAAGCCTAATAATCTCCATAACGTTTTATTATTTTATTAGTCAATAAATAATGATATTAACTTGTATGTTGTAATTCATTTATTCATTTGAGCACTTGATTTACCGCCTTGTAGTGATAAATTCATTGTACATTGAACATTCATTACCATTCTCATTAATCTTATTATTCTATAAAAAAAAATAACAATGGAATCAATTCGCAACTTAAGTTAATGTATTCTAACCGAGAAAAAATATTCTTAAATATCCTTGTTCACTTCCTAAATTTCAATGTTCAATTTTCTGAATAACAATAAGAATAAGAATAATCATAATTTACAAGTGATACAACGGCGAATTAAAATACAAAACCAACCGGAAATTTTCTTGTTAAGCATGAGCTTTTCTCTTTCCTCATTACAAAGAATTGTTCAATTCGTTAGCTTTTTTTGCTGAAATCGATCTCTCAATCAAAGTAACCGACACTGATGATAATAAAACAATACGCCATAAGATTACATTAGTTCCATGACAGTTGAGCACAAGCAAACACCCGCACACACATACACACAGACAATATATGTGTGTGTGTGTGCTCATGTGCATATCCGTAAATGAATTGAACAATGAATCGTTTAGTAGGTAATATATACTGTTAGTTATTTTTTCTAAAAATTGGCTAAACAAGTTTTCTTAACTTTTTTTGTTAATAATAATGTATGTATTGCATTTCGTATTAATTCCTCTGAATTGATTGATTGATAGAGAAGGTGAAGTGATTTTAACCAACTTGTAATATTATACCATAGTATACTACTACTACTACTACTTATAATAGTAGTTATAATTTTTTAATTAAAGGAAATGTGAACTTATTTTCTAGACATTTAGACAATTTGTGTGTGTGAGTGTGTGTGTGTGTGGCATTTTTCTTATAGACTATGTGGTTCTCTATTGGAATAACAGTAAATACTACTACTAATACTACTACTACTACTATTACTACGACCACTGGATAATTGACAGAAAAAGTATTTTTGAATGTATTTTGGCTAAAAACATAAGAAACTATACAATTAGTAATTTAGTATGATATAATATGGAGAGTTAGATTATAAGAAATGCTTGCTAATTTTGATATAGTTTGTGTGCGAAAAGCAAATTGAGTAAATACATTGAGTTGTTTAAAGCATTTGATTTGGAGTATTCTTAAGTGTTTTTTCAACTAAAGTTATGGAGATCAGTGATTTTACACATTGAAGTTATCGATCGATCATTGGTTAGAGAACGTTAGAAACATGGAAGCACTGGACGGTCGTTTCGTCCTGATATAGATCTCATCAGCAGTGCGCATCCATGACTCCTGCACCTCACAGGATTCAAAATCGGGACCTGCGGTCTTGTGTACGAACGCCAAACCTCTGGACTACTGGGCCGTAATCCAACGGTGTTAATGTTGAACTCTGATTGGTGGTCTAACAATGATTGATTGATGATTTCTATGTGTGTGTAGTATCATTTAAAATTTTGAGTTCACTGATTTCTAAAACTAAATTTAAGCCTTCGTTAACATACTACGTATCCTTACAAATTATATTCTTACTTACTTATTTACTTACGTACGCCTGTTACTAACGATCATTCTCCAACCATCTCTGTCCTGAAGCTTTCGTTTTACTTCTGTCCAATCGCTGTTCTTTCATTTCATGTCTGCCTTCAGTTCTCAGCGTAATGTGTTCTTTGGTCTTCCTTTTCTCCTTCAGCAGTGAGGAGTCCAAGTTAGGACTTGTCTTGTGACTCTGTCGGGTACTTTCCGCGATGTGTATCCAATCCATAATCTAGCGCTTTTCTGCAATTTATTCTTCAGCTCTATTCGGGTTTGTTCTCTACCACAGTAAATTATTGTTGATAGTGTCTTGTCGGTATCTTGCAATAAACTACATTCTATCAAGTTAATAATGGCATAAAATTAATTAGGCTATTCCTATTAACAGTTTCGAGGCGTTACTGGATTGTGTTAACAACTTATTTACAGTTGTGCGGAGAGATCTCAAAGAAAATTTACATGTTGACTATTCGATTAGGGGCTTTTTTTTTTCTTAACCGTTTATTTTAATAATAATCAATAGTTTAGATTATAGATTCCCTGGGCACATGCCCCATTCTATTGTCAGTACATATCCAAAACCTCATGAAGAGACGAACTTCTGTTTAACCTTCAGATAATCGAGTTCGCTTCAAGTGGTTTACATTTCAAACTTCCATTGATTCATGATATAGTGCTGGTATTATCCATCATTGATGTTTGCTAATCGCCTAACATAATTGAAATCCTTTTGGTTGCCTAGCCTGAAGGTTAAAGTTCTGAATGCGTGAATGCTGACTAGTTAGGTGTTTCATACTAAGGCAAAGCAACTGTCCTGTGTTCCTCGATTTCCAGTAATAATTTGCAAACTGAATACAGTTCTTAGTTCAAAACCACGAATTTTGCCAATCTCTTCAAATTTTGTATTTGTAATAATAATGTTTTACTTACTGATACGAAGATATCCGACTCTGTAATGTTACTGACTTGAACAAATAACAAGATAACTTTAGATACATATGTATTCATATATATGTCAGGAAAATATGTGAACTATTGAATTCCTTTTCCTGAAATTTAAAATATAATGTTTATCGTTTACATATTTTTATTTTGAACGTAATTTGTCAATCAGAATTCATATTTATTAAAAATATGATCTATATGTTATATAAGCATCATGAATAGTTTATTGATATTGAAATAGAATGGGCATTGAAACGCTGTAAAATGGTAATATACAACTGTGAAAAACGAACTGTACATGTAAACTTTTTCACTTCTACGTATTACGTCACTTCA